TTAAATTAATATGCTCACTTTAAGATAGATTTATATTTTGATAAAATTATAAATAATATTTTAAATAAAAATATTTTCTTGATGATTTAAAATTTAACTCTTCAAAACAAAAAATAAATTAGATTTTAAATGTAAATCTATGCCATATTAATGAAAATTAAAATACTTGTTTTGCTAACTTTATAGATTTAAAAGATATAACATAAAAAACTTAATATAACATTCTTAACTAGTATTTCATCAAATATAAAATATTTTCAATAAAAAATATATGGGGAAAACTAAAGGAAAAGTAAGTAAAGATTTAGTGATGGAAAGCAAACTCAATAACTCCAAGAGATGTTACAAAATTTAGTGTGTTGAAGCTTTCAATTCCAACCAAGAACTCGATCTCACAAATAAAAAGAGCTCTTAGATTAAAAATCAAAATATCTCCTCTCAAGATTTAGCATGTAAAGAAGAAAAGAAGAATGAAAGAATTGTTGGAGTTTTTTTTTTGTGCTATGTGAAAATGAAGATGGGTATTTGAAGGGAAAGGTAAGTAAAGTCAAATTTGAATAGAACTATAAATATAATATTAATTTATCAACTAATAATATTATATGTGATCAATAATTTATTTATATTAAATAAATATAAGTTTCAAATGGCTATAAAATGTCTAGTCACATGGGAAAGTAAAAAAGTTTTCATAGACATAAAAAATAAAACAAAAATGGCAACCTAGCAAATTATATGAAAATTAGATAATGTTTAAAAATTCATTATAAATTCAAATGAGATTCAAATAAGTAATATAACCTATCAATTTCAATAAATAGAATCCAAGGAATCTAATGCAATAAAAATTAAACAACATTTCATCAAAATAATATCATATTCAACAAAATAAAACACTTATGCACATTTTTAAAATATTTAAGGATATATTGAATATTCATATAATAATATGATATAATTTATATAAAAATTAATCATACATCAATAAATTGATGTGAAACAAGTCAATTTAAAATTTTATCAAATTAAATCCTTTGATATATATATATATATATATATATATATAACATCCTAAATTTTATGGAATTAAAGAAAATTAATTATAGGATTAGTTTCTAATTAGCTTGATTATCAAGTCTTCTAATAATCTAATAGCATGTCTCTATATGTTTAGTTGTGTACATAATTTAAGCTCAATGCTGTCTTAATACCAATATTTAAAATTATTATAATAAATTTTGAAATTTTACTTTGAATCTTTGATAAATAGATTTCCTAGGGATGGTAGAAATAATAAGTTAGAACTAAAGAATCTAAATCCAACTAATGCAAATATTTAACCCTAATAAATGATGCTTAGTATCAATACTAAAAAGATAATTTCATACCTGACCAAGTGGACACTAACTCCTTGATATTTTTTGTCTCTTATGAGCTATGCGGTTTTCTAGAGAGAGAAAGTTTTTTGAATCTTGCGTTTCGTGGTTTCGTTGTATCCGGCAATGGCGGCTTCTGGCCGGCCGCCGTCTGATCCCCCGGATCGCCATCGACCAGATGGCTTTCAGTCTTTGTTTGTTCAATCCGTTCCATCGTCCTCTCCTCGTTCTTCCGTTACTGGCTTTGACGTTTGTTTGAATTCAGAATTGGTCACTTAAAATCTGAATGTCCTGATTGTGTTTTCAAAACGGCTGAACATAGCATTGAATCGAAAGACAATTTCAACCAAGATACTTCTCACAATAGTCTTCAGGAGAATTATGGGCCGTGGATTAATGTAAAATTCAAAAAGAGGCCGAATCAAACAGGAAATCGTATGGTACAAAAGATGAAGGGAATCAACCATCAGGATAATCAATGTGCTGCTAGGAATAATACTTCTAGTAATCATGATGAGACTGTCTTGGATGAATCATTGAAAGTGTACAGTGATAAAACTTTAAAGATTAATAATCCTGATGATGATATCTGCTTATCCAATAGCTTCAATGCACTTGTTGATGCGGATTTGAATTAGATGGTTGATACAGTATCAGTTATTCCCAATCCTGTAGGGATTGTTGTTAAACCAGTTTCATTTGGTGAGAGGGCTGATGCTACTTCAAAGGTTTTTAAAGTTTCTCAAGTTCATCCTCAAAATCAAGTCCCTCATGATGATGTTGATGATACCTCTTTAGTTCCCTCCAATTTGCTGGGGATTTCTAAAAATACTTTGAATATGGATCCAAAGGTTGGCAACGACATCATTACTGGTGCTGACATGAATTTAATGGTCACAGAAACTACCTTAAAGTCAAAATCCAAACCTTAATTAAAATTCCTGGGTCCTATTGAACCATCGTCCAGGAAGAGGAAAGTTGATGGCAAAGGCAAGAAAAAAGGCGGGGACTTTTCCCCTTCAGTTATTTAATGTCTTCCCTTATCTTTTGGAATTGTAGAGGGGTCAAGAAAAAGGAGACCTCCCTCTACCTCAAGGAAATAGTGAAAGACAATGCAGTTTTCTTTATAGGCCTTGCTGATACTAAATTATCTTTTATTGATAAGAAGATTGTCAATAGGATTATTGGCAATGATTGGGATTTCTTTCATGAACCGGCTGTTGGTATTGCTAGTGGCATCTTGGTTATGTGGAAGATTAAATTGGCAACTTTTTCTGTAATTGCCCACTCCTCACAGTTTGTTTTCGGTGCTTTGAATACTCCAAAGGGTGGGATCTGGAATGTGGCCATGGTTTACGGCCACAAGGAGCTGCAGGTCCGAAGAGATCTATGGAAAAGTCTCAAGCAGCTGATGACAAAGGAGACACCTACTATTATAGGTGGTGATTTCAATTGTCTTCTTTCAAAGGAAGACAAGAGAGGTGGTAAGAGATTTTGCTTGACTAAAGGTCCTAAAGAGATGAAGCTCTTTATGGCCAATCATGATCTCCATGATTTGGGTGTGAGTGGTCCTAGATTTTCTTGGTGCAACAACAAGCAAGGTAATGCTATAATATGGGAATGTCTTGACCGTTGCCTGTTAAATTCTGCGGCGCTTCAGCTTGTTCCAACCGCCACTGTCAAACATCTTGCGAGGATTGCCTCTGATCACTGCCCCATTATTTTCAAACTTGATAATACGCAGCACACTAAAGTTAAGACTTTTAGATTTGAAGATACTTGGAGATCTTACCTTGCCACTAGGAAGATTGTTTCCGATGCTTGGGGCAGGCATGACTATGGTGAGGAATCTGATAATCTTAATAGGAAAATTAAGAGAACCCTTAAATCTCTTTTTTTCTGGAACAGGAACAAGTGTAAGAAACTGGATCTTCTCAAGGATGAATTAAAGAATGACATCCTCAACCTTCAATTACAAGGGAAGCTGATGGCGGTCTTAGTCCTGACAATCTAGCTCTTTTACGTGGAAAGGTAAGGGAGCTCAACAATACTTTACTTAGGCTTTCCACGTGGTGGAACCAAAGAGCTAAGGCTTTATGGAATGAGGAGGGTGACACCAACTCAAAATTTTATCACGCTTATGCTTCGGCGAGGAAGAATGGAAATATGATCAGACAGATTAAGGATGGAAACAATATTGTTGTTGATAATGAAGACCTCATTAAATCTATTTTTTTAAATTTCTTTGAGGACAAGTGGAAGCACCAAAACTGCAACAATCTAAATTGGCCTAATGTCGACCCGGATCAGAGGATTAATGCAGCTGACAGAGCTTTTCTGGAAGCTGAGTTCACTGAAGCAGAATTCACTACTGCTGTTTTCCAATAAAGTTCAAATAAGTCTCCTAGACTTGATGGTTGCACTTCTTCTTTCTTCAAATTCTATTGGGATACTGTTAAAGAAGCTACCTGGAAGGCTATTAGGATGTTCCTTATCTCTAGAAGTATGCATTGTAATTGGAAGGATACTTTGGTTGTCCTCATTCCCAAAATCAAAGTCCCGGTTTCTCCATCCAACTTTCGGCCCATCAGCCTCTGTCAAACTGTTTACAAATTTGCATCCACAATGCTTGTTAATAGAATCAAATGCTGTATTGATGAGATCATCTCGGATGAATAGGTGGCCTTTATTCCGGGGAGGTCATTATCTGATCACTGCCTTTTGGACTTGGAAATTTTCAACAAATTTAGGATTTCTAAGCATAGGAAGGGACTTATGGCTGTTAAGCTTGACATGGCCCAAGCCTTTGATAGCATGAGTTGGGAGACTTTGAAGCTTGTTCTTAACTGGTTTGGTTTTCCTAAAAACGTTTCTCTCCTTATTTTAGAATGTGTTACTAACGTTTGTTTCTCTATTCTTCTTAATTGCAAAAGTATTAGATGGATTGAAGCCAAGAGTGGCTTTAGATAGGGCTGCCCGTGTTAAAGATAGTTGTTATTTGAATGCTTTACATTTTTGCAACTTATGTAGTTTTGATGATTCCAAATATTATTGTTCAAATGTGTGGGCATCCAAACCTTTCCTAGAGCACCTAGAATCACTCATCTACTTTATGTAGATGATGTTTTGCTGTTCTGTCAAGCTTCCTCCTTCAAGCTTCGTATTATGATAAATTTAATTAGGGACTATTGCGGTTGGACCGGACAGGGTATTAATCAGGCCAAGTCACAAATCCTATTTGGTAATTTTGTTAGACCGGCTATCAGACAGAAAATTGGCAATAAGTTTGGTCTCAAAATCGTGGAAGAATTTCAATATCTGGGCACTAAAATTGCTCTTAGGCGGTTGGTAAAAAGTGACTTCCAATTTGTTGTTGATCACGCTTTGGAGAAGTTCAATGCATGGAGTGTCAAATCTCTCTCTATGTCTTGGAGGATGACTCTTGCCAAGTCCTCTTTGCTATCTCTTCCTACTTTCATCTCTTCCCACTCATTAATCCCTAAGCGTGTCTTATATGAGTTAGACCGCATTTGTAGAGACTTCATTTGGCATCAGAATTCGGAGACCAGGGGCCTTCACTATGTTGCATAGGAAGAACTTTGTTTACCAAGAGCTATTGGAGGGATGGGTCTATTTTCTGCTGTCAAGAAAATTGGGCCTCTTCGTGCTAGGATTGCTTGGAGATTTTATCAAAATCCCTCTTCTCTGCTTCGCAATTGTTTAACTGCCAAGTATGGTTCTAATACTTGGAATGGTAAACCCATGAATGGGCAATCTGCTGCCCGATCAATCATTTTGGATGGCACTACTTTCCTTAAGCCTATTGTCAAATGGAAGATTGGCAATGGTACTTATATCAATGTTAAGAATGACATTTGGATACTTGACAAATGTTTCAACAAGTGGTCAATGCTTGCAGATTGTGTCAACCTTGAGAACTTGGTGCTTAACAACTTTATCCTTGATGATGGGAATTGGAACCTGACGGAACTTAAGCAGTATTTTAATGCTAGCTTGATTAATCTAATTGTCCAAAATTGTGTTATCCATGTTCGTGTTGAGGATCATATGGAGCTTCTTTATCAACATTCTGGGAAATCAATCTCATCATTAGCTTATGCCGAATCCACTAAGTCCCTCAATTCACTTGATGATTCTGGTTTTATTGCTTGGCTCCGGAAACTGTACCTCAGACCGAGAATTGAACTATTTTGGTGGAGATTGTGTAAGTTTACCATTCCCACTAATGAGTTCTTGAAGTATAGACGCATTGGAAATAATGACCTTTGTGCTAGAGGATGCTCTGAAGTGGAAAGTAGTGCTCATGTTGTGGTTCACTGTAAGTATCTCATTGATGTCATCAAGATGTTGAGATCATGGGGGATCAATGTTCCCATCTTCAGCTCGCTGGCGGATTGTCTCCATCATTTAAGACACCTAACGAATTATTGTCCGGACATTGTCAAGATATACTGCACTGCTGTCTTCTATTCTTGGAATTGCATAAATAATTTCAAACATGGCGGTCCATTGCTGCCCACCTCTGTGATTGCTGCCAATGTCCTGTTTACGGCTACTAAGAAGAATTCAATGCTGGTTAACTGGGATGCCTCTCTCTATTGTGAGTTTGATCTTTCATGGCGTCCCCCATCACCGGATTGGATTAAAATTAATGTTGATGCATCCTTTCTTGACTCAAATTTGGCTAGTATTGGTGGTGTTGTCCGTGACTCCATGGGTAAATCGCTCCTAGCTTTCGGCAAACAACAACTTCATTGGGACATTAATCAGCTCGAATTGGATGCTATTTTTTCCTTGAAGGATTTCATTTCTGATTGGATGTTTGATAGCAAAGGATTAATAATTGAGGGAGATAACTACAATGTTATCATGTTCCTTCAAGATTCAATGAAGAAATCTAAGACTTGCAACCGAATTTCCGAGAAGATCTCTTTTCTATATGATTTCAATAAGGTGATTTTTTTACATACCTCTAAAATTTGTAACAAGGTGGCTGATTTATGTGCCTCCCTTGCCTTAGATAATACCTTTTGTTTTGTTTCTTTTACCAATTCAGATATTCCTTCTTCCTTGTTTGACCTGTTGAAGAAGGAATATGTGATATGCACTTTATGATTAGCTTGTATTAGGTTGCTCTTTCTCCTTTAATGCAAATGTGCACTTATCAAAAAAAAAAAAAAAAAAGACCAAAAGGACATTATCCTACAAAAGTCAAAGGTTTAAATTTATTTGTTGCTGCTTTAAGCTCGTCCAAAGAAAAGTTACGATACAAAGGAATACCAGGAGCCACCAGCTTCATTATTTGAGAGATTTACACTTTGAGGTGAACACGAAAGCATTGTTTAGAAATATAATTAATCAAATATGTAATCATTGTGCAACAGTTTGAAAGGTTGGGAAGAATTTTAAAAATTAGTTATCTGAAAAATTTCAACAAAAAGCATTATATAAGAAGAGAAGCATATGACTCTTTGAAATAGTGTGTGAGAGATTACTGGCATCAGCTAGTTGTGAGCGCCCCCTCGGCTTATCCTACAATGTTAGGCAGTGCCCGAGCCGGCAAATAAAAGAAATGAAGGTTGTAAATAACAACCTCAAAAAGACATAACAGTAAGAAGAAATCAGCCAAGAAAGCACAAAATCCTATCAAACTCGAGAAATAATAAAAGTCTTCCTGCAAAAATTACTAACAATGAATAAGCCCCATTTGGTTGCCAAGGCTAAGGACCATCTTTTGGGTGCAGTAGCAAAATTGAACATAAAGTATAACATGTAAAAGAGAACCACAAGACCAAAAACAAAAACAGGAAGCACCTAAGCAGCAAAAAAAGATCCAAAATATAAAAAAATGATCAGTCAGAAACACAATCCAAGTAGCAGACCCATAAACATAAAGAGGCCTCCAAGGTTGCCAATGCAGAGCCATGGCCATCCAAGGGAGCATAGAAAGGCAGCCTCATCATTGTCTATCCAAGCCCAGCCATATAGAGAAATCCCTACAAACAACAGTAGCACTACCAGTCCAATTGAAAATTACCAAATAAACGAATAGCAATAGTAGAAAGATAATTTTTAAATTAGTTTTTTTATTAGTTTTTTTTTTTAGTAAATTTAATGAATAAGATTTATTAAGATGAAATTTAAATCATGATATAAATTTTCTCCGAGGTGATATACTTATATAAAGAAAATCAAGTATACTATTAGAGGTTTTTCTCATTAAATTTCTATTTAAAATATACTATTTTAATATAAAAAATGATTCAAAAATTGATCATTTATATTTTACAATATTCTTATAAAAAATCTTAAAAATAAAAATCTTTGATAAAGTAAGCATAAAAAATATCATTATTTTTCCTAAACCTACTCATTTGTATAATAATATTTTTTTTTTTTTATGGATGGCAATAAATGAAATGACTTAACAACTTCATGCTATTTGATATGAAAAATCCAATTTTGGGTTGATATGTTCATTAAATAGGTAAGCTTCCACTTTACAATTCTAGCACACATCTCATTAGTAGGTCATTTCATTTCAAAATAGAGTTAACCCGCGAACAGTATTTTGACCTTAACTCTATTTTGACCCAATTTTGATATGTTTAATTATTTTCCCTTGAATACTTTTGCTAGTTAATATTATCTTTTTTTTTTTTTTGATCAATTAACTTATACTCTCTAATTAACTTCCAACTGAATAGAAGGTAAACACCAGAATAATTTATTTTCTTTTTTTATTCAAAATGTACATATAAATAAGAAAATTATATACACTGTAGTACATAGCTATAATTGGAATAAAATGAAGTAAAACTTGTCATGAATATACAAAACGTACTAGTTTGTTTTTGTTATACATTTATTTTTATGTCTCTATTTTTCTTTTATGGTTTATTATTTTGTGTCTATATTGTATTTTTGTTTGCAACACTTCTTATATCATTATCCTTTTAAATTAAAAAAAAAAAACTTTGTGTTTATTTCTTCTCTTTTAAGTGGTACTTTTTATTTCTTGTTAGTTATGTGCTGTTAGATCTCTTTTATATGCTTTTAACTTGTGAAATCTATAGTGGAAGAAATATATGTTTCTGTTGATCATACTGTATGATTTAACATGTACTGTATGACTTGGATCGTATTGTACTAATAAACTCTCGTCGATGCTATTTGTGGTTTGTAATAAACATATTCTATTTTGACATAAAAAGTTAAATAAGTAAATGCTGGCTTTGTTAAAACTTAAAGGATAAATGAATATTATGAAATTATATATCCCTTCTTATTTCCTTTGCATGATAATTCCTTATTTGAACTTGGAATCTAAATCAAATTGGAGTTGAGATGGTTGAAATGAAAGCTCTTTCATTCTACTGCATTTTTTATATCATGAGTATTTTTTGTAATTTGATAAATGAGATTCATTATTTTTCATAAATCAGGCAGTTTATTCCTATTAGAATACCAGGTTTGCTTTATAGATTATTCCTCCCTATATAAGAGAGTGAATTGCTCCTCTCTTCTATTTGGAAGATAATCTTTACAATTGAGATTCTTGAAGATTTAGAAAGGAAGCAATTTGTAAAAAAAAAAAAAAATTCAAAAGATACACAAGTTGAGCCCAAAATCAAACAATGCACAATGACGCCAAAAATAAAAAGATGCACTAAGTGTATCAAAAACAAAAAGACACGTAATGTACGCCAAAAGCTAATAAAAGAGGCACAAAATGAGTCCAACTTAAATTCGCTTCTCTTTCTAGTAAATATTTAAATCTTAGAAAATTCTTGTGTTTCAGAATATGTTGTATACTTGATCGTGGAAAATCTTGGTTCTTTACTATCACTTTTATAGTAATATTCTATTCAATATATTTAATGTTAGTAGTCTAAAAAGTTTAAGTTTCCCTATCTAATTGTAATTGTTGAATTAGATTTTTATTCAAACAAAGGACTTTAGCCTACGAAGATGTTAAGTTGGGTGTGCAAACTCTAGAATCCCTTGATTGTAATAAGTCAACACTTACCTTATTTGTCTTTTCTGTCTATAAGAGAGTTTATTACATTTTCAAAAATGCTTAGGAGAGTTCTCATAACTGTAATAGTTCTTTCCTTACCTAAGTTGTTGGTCATTTTGAGTCTGTTTGTCTTATGCCTTTGGTGTTTCTATTGTCTATTTTTCTTCCTTCTATTTTCCCTCTTTTCTTGATGTTAAAAGGGGGAGCAGAATTTTAGTTTTTGTCATTGTTATCGTTATTTTATGTTGTTGATTTCTATTATTATTATTATTGTTTGCATATTAATTAAAAATAAAAAAATAGTTTTTACACTCCCTTTTCTTATAGTTGGTTATCATCTAAGGAGGAGTTTAGAGGCAATTTTTTGAAAATCTAAAAACCACAATATTTGTCATCATAAAAAAGGGGGAGATAGTTGCAAACCATATTTAAGCACTCTAATTTTGATGATAATAAATATTATTGTATCTTACTAGCTTCTCTTATTTCTATAATATTTTGTTTTGTGTTTATGCATACTAACATTTAAGGAAATCAGTCCACCATTCACTTGGAATTCTGATCAGCTCAAGATTTGGTAGACTAGAGTTACAATCAATTTTCATTTTATCTAGTATTTTTTTTTTCTTGAGTCATATCATGTAATTGGATGGATAACATTACTAAGTAACCTAGCACACAAACAAGGGGAGATATAAAAATATTTATGAGAGAGTTATTTTTTTAGTAATTCATACTATATAGAACATGTTTCATACTATGTGAAGTATTTTGTATTGTATGATTAAAATTTATACTATACAAACTATTGTGCTCTTTCAAAACCCTAACTACTAAAGGTTAAGAAAGATATTAATTATGTACTACTTGTATAATATGATTTGGATCATACTGTACGCCATAATTAAAATATTTCTTAATTAATCCTATATAATTACTCGTGTACAGAATTGGTCATCCCATGGATTATACCAAATAAAATCTATGATTTTTGTGATGATTGTACTATACGATATCCACAGTACTCGACAATCACCCATGTATGAAGTTGGACATCCTAATGATCATCCCAAATGAATAGAAGGAATTTATATAGATCGTACCGGATGATTTTTGATCGTAATGTACGATGTATTATAAAAGTTGAACTGTTTGTCTAAATGATCATGCTGGACGAGTCTGAGTTAAACTAATCGTTCCATATGATACATGTATCATAATGTACAAATAGAAGTCGAATGGCTTGAAATTTAGGGGTTTTTTAAGCGTGCTTTTTAAGGGTTTTATATATTCTTTTGAGAAATATTTTGCTTCTTAGTCTTCTTGAAAGAGAGCTTGAGGGACAGAAAAATGAGAGCTTGGTGAGAGAAGAGGGAGATTTTATGAGGGAGAAGTTGTGAAGGGATTCACAAGGTTGCTCCAAGCAAGAATCTTACCTAGTATCTATAAGCATTTTCTTGGAATTTATGTGGCCCAGAGAAGAAGTTCTTTAGTAAAGATCATGGTTCTTTGACAGTCACCTGGAGGGTGAAAATAGAGTTTCCATTCTCTGACCATCAGCAAGAGGGTGAAAATAGAGTTGAGATTCTCTTCATATAAAAGAGTCACATTTCTCTGCCACACCGGGAGGTGAAACAGCGTATGTACAGGCTTCTCCACCTTGCTATGGAAGTAAAAGGAGAGTCACTACTATTTAGTGCAATACTTGGAGAGGGAGTCTCCAAAGAATGGACTTAGGTCAAGCTGATCAAACCACTATAAATTTTGTTGTATTCATTCTTATTAATTTTCACACTTTTTTCCACATTAATTTTTCTTATAATTGCGTGGGTGAAACTCTGATTTATCCTTTTTTTGTGAATGTAATTTGCTTCCACTTCAAGTTATAAAAAGATTTTCTTTTTTTTAAAAGAAGTTTTTAAAAATATCCAAT